TATGTTATCAATGGCTATATCATAGATGCAATCCAATCCAATCCAAACCAACTAGCATTTATTAAGTGTCTTTGTGCAAAGCACTACGCTACCTGCTGGAGATATAAAGAAAAAGAAAAAGCCTCTGTCCTCAAGAAGCTTAGATTCTGATTCAAACAGAGTTTGAAAGTGTCCTTGGAAATGTTCCTGACATCTATTCTTTCTAGTCTAAGCTCTTCATTTTAAAGACAGCTCAACAGAAGCCCAAGAGAGAGGAAGTGAACTGCCTGAATTCTAATAAGTAGTTGAGTCAACACTATGAATTGAGCCTAGCGATCCCCAGTTGATGTCTGCTTCCATGACCCAACGCTACCTCCTACAGAGAAAAGGCAAAGGCAGTTCTTTAGCCTTAACATTAAAATGAGAATTGAGAACATAATAAAGGAACAACAAATGCTATAAATAGCCAAAACAGTTTAAGGCAACCCATCTGGGGGCAAACTAATACCTGACAGTATTCATACCTGCTTTACAATTGTTTTTGAATACTTTAGCAGATTAAGATATTTCAGAAATAGCTTTCCCTGTGGAAACTTGGTGGGAGGGGGGAAAAACACAAATAAACTAATTAACTAGTACAGAGGTTAAAAAAACTTACATTATATATAACTGGCAAGATTAAAAAAACAAAACAAAACTAAGCCATCTTCACTGACCTGCAGTCTGCTTGGAATGACTTGTTCTCTGGATGCTAAATAGGTCATTGATCCTTTTCATCTCTTTCCAAGTATTAGAACTAGATATATGTGTCTACATTAAAAGACATTTTAGGAGAAAAAGCTGTGAGATTACTGGTTTTTAACACAAAAGTCACTAAGGGGATAAGCAGGAAAAGTAGACTAAAAATACTAAGTATTCCCCTCAGAAAGTTAAGTCTAGCTCAGTCACAAATAAAGGGAATCATCATCTACAATCAAGTTAGCAAAGATAATATATTTCCTGTTATAGGTTATCATATATAGATGATATAATTAAGACCAAAAAATCATTTTAGGTTCAATTACAAAAAATTATTTTAGGTTCAATTATTGAAAACTGCCAAAAACATGGCTAGATTTTCCTGGTCTCTCTGGTTTGGGAGGGAGTTCTGGTAAGGTGGAAAGAGCACTGGTCTTGGGACTCATAAGACCCGAGTTGAAGTCCTGGCTCTATTTATTGACTATGTTACCTAGAACAAATCCATTAAAATAGGTATCCCGCATGGACTATGAAGCTAGGTGGTGAGGTACAGAAAGTACTGGACCTAGAGTTAGGAAGAACAGAGTTCAAGTATAACCTCAGATACTTTCTAGCTCTGTGACCCTGCGCAAGTTGCTTAACTTTTTCTGCCTCAATTTCCTCAACTGTAAAACAGGGATCACAACATAAGCACTTACTTCATCAAGTATGAGATATTTATAAAGCACTTAGCACAGTGCTTGAAATACTGCAGACAATTAGTAAGCGCTTGTTCCCACTCCATCACCACCTCCATTCCTGCCTCCGGTGCTTGTTAGGACTAAATGGTAATGGATGAAAAGAGCATTAAGGGTTATTCAAATGTCAATTATTTCTCTAACGGTTAATATACTACTCAAGACCTTGTGGTATAGGGAAGGGTGTTAGACTGCAAGTCAGGAATACTGGTTCTTTTACTAACTACTGGGTGACACTATGCAAGTCACTACTTCATTGGGACTCAGAGCCTCCTTTTTAAATAGAGGATGTGACCTGATGATCTTTAAAATTCCTTCCAATTCTGACACTGTGATTTAATGGCATGTTACAAGCATTGATCTTTCTCTGAGGAAGGTAGGGCATAATAAGAAACTCTATCCTTCCTTAGGTAAACAAGCCAATCATTTAGTCTAAGTGAGCTTATTACAAAGCTGAGTACATCTTAGAACTCAATGCTCTGGATCCAATGCACTTTTGACATTGTTTAGATGACAGTGTATAGTAGGGTATCTACTCCAACAGAAACATTTGTAGGAAATTTAACATGAGAAAAAATATTAAGCCAATACAAAAAACTGATGCTGATGTCCATATCTTCAAAATCCAAAAGAAAAGAACCTGGGATTTCTGGGGCTAAGAAAATGAACTATTAGACTCTGATAAGCCAAGAATTGGTTAAAAATAACCAACAAATTTCTTGCTGCTTTATCACATGTACTATGGTGCAAAAAAGGAAAATTACAGTATTGAAAAAATGAGTGTTAGTAGATTCTGCCCCCAAAGCCCATTCCTACTACACACCAGAACCCTTCAGGAACCCCTATGAAAGACAAAGCCCATATGGCCCCCATTTTGTCTTCATAATCACAATTTCTTGCTTAAACACAATTCTGTATTTTAACAGAACAGAAGAACAACACACTAAGGACTAAAAGCATTTGCTGTTCATTGTGAAGTACTATGCAATGTGGTGAGCTATAGTGCTTATTCAACTGGTTCCCTGTCTCATTTAATGAAAAGTGAGTGACTGGACAAGTATAATTTCCTGATCCTAAGAATTGGTTGATCATGAAGATGCTATTCTCAGTACCACGTATGACACGATGTATGCCAAAAGGTAAAGAGATATTCCAAATATTGTCCTTTTACAGAAAAGATTTTTTAAAAATCCTACAAGTAGAAAAAATTGTTATTCTTACGTCTAAATTGTCTAATTTGACCACGTGACTTGTTGGCTAAATTAAAGTCCAAAAATGGTTTCCCTCCAATTAGCTAACACCTATAACAAGGGTTAGAATTCTTTTTTTTTAGTCCAAACTTGTGATTTCACAGTGTAGGGAGCTCTTAAGGAGGAAACTCTCAACCAGTGCTGATGATAAGCAATTATTCAACAATTTATAGACTCAGAGAACTATGTGGGACAATAAGAGCTTAAGTTACTTGCTCAGGGTCACACAACTAATATCAAAGGCTGGTCTTGAATCCAAGGTCTTCCAGATCAACAGTCAGTCCCTGTCTCAAGAGGTAAGGTATTACAAGCAGAAGAAACATCTGTATTAATACACAAAAGTACATGAAAATTCTGATTATACCACTGTGAAAGCAACATGTTTACAACCAGGCTGGATCACAGCTGAAGGCAAGAAGGCATCTGATGTGTAACCTCCACTTTTTGCTCCAAGTGACCTGGAGCTCTGGATCTCTATTAGCCTGACTACTTAGGAATTTACCCAGCCTGCTTTGTGGAAATTGTTCCACCTGATCTACAATGTTCTAGTTCTAAAATGGTATCAGTATCCATTAACTATTGTATGATGGGCCAATTTTAAACATAACTCTAGGGATGACACTTGCTGATATGAATTAGTTATGATGATTAAGGACCATTAAGGCTTGATGTGTGGTCTAGGCCAAATCACAATTCATATGAATTCCTATCCTGTAAAACAGGTTAACAGTGTCTAATCTCACAAAATGACCTGAGAATTATAATCCAGTGGTAGTTAGTGAATTGGCCTTTCTAGTTTGGAGGTCAGACTTCATGCCCTAGTTTAAGCCCAATAAAAATTCACATGGTTTTATCCTCAGCTTTTCCTGTGTTACCCCCAGCAGGAACTTAAGATACATGACAAGACTGGGAAAAAAATCTTCTAGCTGATGGTGAGGTACATACACTGGGAGGAAGCTGTGGCATATAGCACAAGGCCAAAATTCATGTAGACTGAAAGGAAAAAATCTAACCTTCAAGCCACCAGGTTGCCATGTATTCATAACGTCTATGTAAATGGTTTTTACATGAAGTGTCAGAGATTTACATGTGTATTTGACCTTTCTGTTTGGACTCAGCAGCTTTCTCTCTGGCTTTCCAGATTCACAAAATCTGGCCAAATTTCATCCACCCACAAAGGGCAAGTAAAATCAGAGCCTGATGCTATCTATTCAAAGAAAATGCAATTAGGGCCAGGAGGAGGAGGAGTGTAACGTTTTTACAGGTGGGCTGATAACCTTAATAAGTCTGCCATCACAAACCATTACATATTAAGATTCCATCTGCCAAAGGCAATGCCTTTCTGGAGGGGAAAGATGTGGGGGGGCAGGAGGGGAAGCTACCCACTTCACATACTCCCCTCTCATCGATTCCACAAATCACAACCCCAAAACGTGACTGGGCCCTGAATAGGTAGGTGCCTGCCAGGCAAAAACAAAAAGCAAGCAAAAACCTTAGCTATTAGATTAGTATTCCCCAGGGAATTCCATTTTCTTGCCTCAACTATTTTTTACTAGAAATACGTCTGACTCAATCTGCTGAAAAATCTGCATTTTCTTAATTCCAATTGTAATTCTGAGCTTTGCACGACATCAAGTGCACGGGCAGAACCCCATAACCACTGAACGATGAAATGGCTTTGCAGCAAAGCAGAGGGTGGGAGCTCATTTCCGTCTGCGCTTCCCAAGGTTAAACCCCTTACTCACCAACAGCAGGCCACGCCAAAAGCTGAGGATGAAGAAAACACCCGTATTTTATTAAACAATTTGATTTATTTCGATGCAGAAAACGTGGGGCTCAGGCAACAAGCTGCAAACAGCCTGGCCTCGGGGCCCAGCTGGTCCCTGGGTACCACGCCAGGTTCGAAAGGGGATGGCCGGGACAGGAGGCCCAGGCGGGGGTGGCTGCAGGCTGGATGCTGGGGCCCTCCGGAAGAGAGGAGAGGAAAGGATGGATGGCTGGCTGGCTGGACGGATGGATGAGTGGGTGGCTAAACAACAGAAGGGGGTCAGGAGGCCCCCAAGGAGAAGGGGAGGGAAGCGGAGGGCGGCCCTAGCGGGAGGCGCGGGCCCAGGCCGGAAACAGGGAGGGGCCGGCCCGGACCAGGGCATGGCATGGCAGGGGCGAGGGAGTCGGATCCGGCCGAGGGCAGGACGGGCCGCCAGGACCTCGATGACCCCGCCCGTCCACCCGCCCGCAAGGGCCCGGCCTTCCTGAGGGGAGCCACGGGCTGGGCCCCCGGGGGCCCCGCACTCACCGTGCAGCGGGCAGCGAGCGACAACACACTTCCCGGCAAGGCTTCGAGCGCGGCGACCGCTTCCTCCCCAAACCTCTTCTCAGGCAGCTACGGCAGCAGCGCCGGTTCCCCCGAGGTGCGGCAACGGCAACGGCAACGGCGGCAGCGGCTGCTCTACTTCCGCTCCGGTCGCCGCTTCCGCTCCGACGGAACCTTTGCTCCGCCTCCTCCCTCCCTGCTACCTCCTCATTGGGCCCCCGAGAACGAGAGCGGCACGCGGGGGCGCCCGGCCCTGAGTGCAGGGGCGCTCTGGGGAGGCGGGGGAGGAGTGGGGGCTGAGGTGGGGGTTGGGCGTGGGGGAGGGAAGACATACGGAAATGGGGTGAGGGGACCAAGAATTGGGGAATAGGCCGAAGGGTGGGAAAAGGGTGTGAGATGGAAGAAGGGGGACGTTGTTCTGGCTGCGTTAGCTCATAAGGAGCTGGAAAAGACCAACTTCATTTTGACCCGAATGTCAGCGCTGCTGCTCACAGATGGACCTTAGAACAGAAAATGTCAGAGCTGAAAGAACATAGCATGTCAGTGCTGAGAGGGCTTTAGAAAACAGTATGTCAGAACTGAAAAGACACAGAACATAGAACACCAGAGATGAAAGGACATAGAACATAGGCTGTCAGAACTGAGAAGGGCCTTAGAACATGGAATGTCAGAGCTGGAAGGGGCCTTAGAGCATACAGCATCAGACCTGGGAGCAGCCTTAGAAAATAGAAAGGCAGAGCTGGGAGGATCTTCAGAACACAGAATGTCATATTTGGGAGGGACTTTTGAACGTAGCATGTCAGACCCGAGATCTTAATACAGAGAATGTCAGAACTGGGAGAAGCCTTAGTGCATAGAATGATAAAACCAGAAGGGATCTTAGAACATAAGATGTCAGAGCTGGAAGAGACCGGAGAACATGAGGCAGCTAGGTAGTATAGTGGCTAGCATGCCAGACTTGGAGTAAGGTGGGGAGAAGGGTCCTAAATTTAAATCCTGCCTCAGGCAATTACTAGCTATGACTGTGGACAAGTCACATAACCTCTCAGCTTCAGTTTCCTCATCTGTAAAACAGGGATAATAATGATGCCTATCTCACAGGGTTGTTGTAAGGATAAAAATGAAATGTGTAAACTGTTTTGCAAATCTTAAAGTTCTATATACATGTTAGCTATTATGATGTTCTAGCTGGAAAGTATCTTAAAACATAGAGCTGGGAAGGGCCTTAGAGAACAGACCCACCATTTTACAGAAAGGTAATCTGAGCCCCGAAGAAGGAAAATGATTCATTTCCCCATCCAGTGGGCTTGAGTTATACATAAATCACAAATGTACTCCTATTTTAAATTATGAAATAAAACCTGTATTCTAAGGCCCAAGTCCTCCCTTACTAGTTTACCTATTCCAGACTATGCAGAATCAGTAGGGTGTTTTAGGAAGGCAACCACGATTCCCTCAGGAAACAAACTCAATGACTTTGTTCCCTCATGAGAACACATTCTTCTGTTCCAGTTAAGTGTGAGGAAGCATAGTGAAGTTTTCTGAGATGATTAAGCCAAGTCAACAAGCATTTGCTAAACTCCTCCTACCTGCCAGGCACTGTCCTAGGTGCTGATCACACAAGGGGGGGGGAATTGGCCTCAGTCCCTCACCTCAAGGAGCTCCCAATAAATTATTGGGGTGACAACATGCAAACAACTATGTACAAAGTAGCTATATACAGGATAAACTGGAAATAATTACAGAGGGAAGGCATTAGCATTAAATCTGATATTTGCAGGGAATGGGATTTGAGCTAAGACTTGAAGGAAGCCAGGAGGTAGAGAAGTGGAGGGAAGGAATTCCAGGTTTGGGAGACAGTCAGTGAAATCATAAGATGAAGTGTCTTGTTTGAGAACAGTAATGTAGCCAGTGTTAGTGAATCATAGAGTAGATGGAGGGGAATAAAATATGAGAAGACTGGGAAGGTAGGAAGAAGTCAGGTTATGAAGGGCTTCAAAAAACAAACAGGATAAGCAGAGAACAAAAGCAAAGAAAAGCTGGGCAGCTATGAAAACAATGTGTAATATTTATTAAATATATTTGAATAGAAATTTATTGTTTTATGTTGAATCCTTTCTTATGCTCTGCTGTATATATGGCAGTTTTTTTTCTTTTCTCATTTTGTATTTAATTTTAAAATAAAAAGATTTACAAAAAAAAAATCCAAACAGGATGTGTGTGTGTATACACACAGTACAGACATACACATATACACACACATGCATATATATGCATGTGTATATATGCTTATGTACATACACATGCATATATATGAATCCTGAAGGTAATAAGTAATCATTGGAACTCACTGAATAGTTGAGATGGCATAGTCATATCTGTACTTTAGGAAGATCACTTTGATAGCTGACTGGAGGATGAATGGTTGTGAAGAATGAGGCAGGGAGACCAACCACAAGGCTATTGCAATAATCCAGGCATGACTGGAGAAAATTGAATGGGGATAGAAAGGAATATACCTTTTTCTCAGCAGTATCCAGTGCAGAAAGGCAGAAATATTAAATGCATCACTTTCTGATCATGATGCAATAAAAATTATATGTAATAAAGGGCCATGGGAAGACAGACTGAAATTAATTAGAAACTAAATAATCTAATCCTAAAGAATGAGTGTGTCAAACAACAAATCATAGAAACAATCAATAACTTCATCCAAGAGAATGACAATGATGAGACAACATACCAAAACTTAGGAGATGCAGCCAAAACAGTTTTTAGGGGAAATTTTATATTTCTTAATGCTTACATGAATAAGATAGAGAAAGAGGAGATCAATGAATTGGGTATGAAACTAAAAAAGCTAGGAAAAGAACAAATTAAAAATACCCGATTAAACACCAAATTAGAAATTCTGAAAATCAAAGGAGAGATTAATAAAATTGAAATAAAGAAAACAATTGAATTAATAAACAAAACTAAGAGCTGGTTTTATGGGGGAAAAACAATAAAATAGATAAACCTTTGGTTAATTTGATTAAAAATTTTGATTAAAAAAAAGAAGCCAAATTACCAGTATCAAGAATGAAAAGGGTGAATTCACCACCAATGAAGAGGAAATTAAGACAATGATTCAGAGCTATTTTGCCCAACTGTGTGCCAATAAATCTGACCATCTAAGGGAAATGGATGAATATTTACGAAAATATAAATTGCCCAGATTAACAAAAGAGGAAATGAAATACTTAAATAACCCCATTTCAGAAAAAGAAATTAAACAAGCAATCAATGAATTCCCTAAGAAAAAATCTCCAGGGCCAAATGGATTTAAAAGTGAATTCTACCAAACATTTAAAGAACAACTAATCCCAATACTATATAAACTATTTGGGGAAAAAAGGTGAAGAAGGAGTCCTGCCAAATTCTATTTATGATACAACATGGTGCTGATTCCTAAACCAGGGAGAGCCAAAACAGAGAAAGAAAATTATAGACCAGTTTTATTGATGAGTATATATGCAAAAGTTTTAAATAAAATATTAGCAAAGAGATTATAGCAACTTGTCACAAGGATAATATACTATGACCAGGTAGGATTTATACCAGGAATGCAGGGCTGGTTCGATATTAGGAAAATTATGACTAACTTTAATAGATTCATCTCTTCTCAGGAATGCAAACATCCAAGACAACTCCAAAAGACTCATGATGGAAAATGCTATCCACATCCAGAAAAAGAACTATGGAGTCCAAATGCAGATCAAAACATATTATTTGCTCTCTTTTTGTCTACTCTTTTGTTTGTTTGTTTTTTCTTTCTTCTGGTTTCTCCCATTGGTTCCAATTATTCTTTACAAATGACTAATGTGAAAACAGGCTCAATATGAATGTATATGTAGAGCCTATATCAAATTGTGTGTCTTCTTGGGGTGAGGGGAGGGGAGAGATGGGAGAAATTTTGGGAACTCAAAATCTAATGGAAGTGAAATAAAAAATATTAGGAAAACTACCAGCCTAATTGACCATATCAATAACAAAATTAACAGAAATCATGATTATCTCACTAGATGCAGAAAAAGCTTTTGACGAACTACAACACCCACTCCTATTAAAAATCCTAGAGAGCATATGAATAAATGGAGTTTTCCTTAAAATTATAAGTAGCATCTATCTACAACCATTGGCAAGCATTATATGTAATGGGGATAAGTTAGAAGCATTTCCAAAAAGATCAGAGGTGAAACAAGAATGTCCATTATCACCACTGTTACTCAATATTGTAGTAGAAATGTTAGCTTTAGCAATAAGAGAAGAAACAGAAATTGAAGGAATTAGAATAGGGAATGAAGAAACAAAGCTATCATTTTTTGTAGATGATATGATGGTATAATAAGAGAATCAACTAAAAAACTAGTAGAAATAATTAACAACTTTAGCAAAGTTGCAGGATATAAAAGAAACCCACACAAATCATTAGCATTTGTATATATTACTAACAAATCCCAACAGCAAGAGTTAGAAATAGAAATTCCATTTAAAGTAACGATAGACAATATAAAATATTTGGGAGTCTTCCTGCCAAGACAAACCCAGATACTACATGAACACAATTACAAAACACTTTTCACACAAATAAAGTCAGATCTAAATAATTAGGAAAATATCAGTTGCTCATGGGTAGGCCGAGCTAATATAATAGAAATGACAATTCAACCTAAATTAATTTACTTATTGAGTGCCATACCAATCAAACTACCAAAGATTGTTTTATATAGGTAGGAAAAATAATAACAAAATTCATCTGGTAAAACAAAAGGTCCAGAATATCAAGGGAATTAATGAAAAGAAATGCAAGGGAAGGTGGCATAGCTGTATGAAATCTAAAACTGTATTATAAAGCAGCAGTCACCAAAACTACTTGGTACTGGCTAAGAAATAGAGTAGTGGATCAGTGGAATAGGCTACACACACAAGACACAGTAGTCAATGACTTTAGTAATCTACTGTTTGATAAACCCAGCTTCTGGGATAAGAACTCACTATTTGACAAAAACTAATAGGAAAACTGGAAAATAGTATGGCAGAAACCACACAAAGACCAATATCTTACATCGTATACCCAGATAAGCTT